ATTAATCATTATGTTTTCTAGCTGCCACGTTTATGTTTTTTTGATAAATTATATTTTTCAAAATGTTGTTAATAAATGTCTAAATCAATTTGGATTCGATTCGATATTTGAGTCAAATATCGAATATTTCTAATTGTTGTAAAATGTTAGATTATTCTATTGCAGTAATAGAACAAAACTAAAGAAAATAAAAAAAAATATTTATTTTATATAATTATATATTTTGTTATTTAGAAATATTCGATATTTGACTCGAATATCGAATCGAATCCTTAGATCGCCCCGGATTGGCACACCCCTAGTTAGAATCTGCTATCTTTATCGATTGTCCATGAGAATTTCATGACATTTCATCTATTAGAAGTGAAGTTATTGTGTTTAAGTGTCAGTATGTTTGTGTTATCGGTGCGAAAAATTTAAAAATTGGCAAAACTTTAACCGAAACGTTTCAATTGATGACTAGTTTATGCCGATGATTGCCTATCCCGTAGCAGAGTGCACGAGTGGTTTCAACGTTTTCAAAGTAGTCGAGAGGATATAAAAGACGATCAACATGTGAGCCAATCGAAATCCGTGATCACCGGAAATTTCATCTAAACTGTGCGTGAATTCAATAAAAATTTGGCGACATCGTCATTGAATTTCATGGAAATCCAAAACATCGATTTATCGCATTTTGACCGAACATTTGGGCTTACGAAAGGTGTCTGCACGGTTTGTTCCGCACCAAAAATCACATTTAACCATAAACCACTCCCCATATTCACCTGATATGGCACGTGCGACCTCTTTCTTTTCGAAAAAATGCATTTGTCCATGAAAGGAAAGCGTTATGCAGACGTAGAGGCCATTCAAAAGGCTTGCACCGGCATACTGGCAGCCATACCGGCCAACGAGCTAAAACACTCGTTCGACATGCTGTATTGAAGCAGAAGAAGACTATTTTGAATAAAATAAATTTATTTTGCCGAAAAACCATTTGTTCTGTGTCTTTTTAAGTCCTGTTTATTTGGAACGCACCTTGTGTATAAGCATTTCACACAGTAATCAAAGCGGTATTCGTAATTTCATAAATTATCCCACTTTTACAGCTGAAAGAGAAGGGTGTCCTTTTCCAAATTTTCAGCGATTCCAAGCACCAACTAGTTTAATAACTTTGACTAACCCTGCGAGACGAGTATTGCCACTCTGCTGACGAATTGAATGTTTAAATAAATAAGTTTGAATGATTTATTGATGGGTGTACCTGGTACTTTGCCGTACTAATTTCTTATATCTAAGTAAGCTTAAAACTAAGCCTAAAGTGAAACCGTTTGCTGCTGCATACTTCCGATTTTCTTCCATTGTGACGATCACATGAAGCGACAAATTGATTTACACCTCTCTGAATGCTTCTGCTGCCATCTTAAAAGTTATTCTTCGCGTAAACACTGTTCCGTAGGTATTTAAATACACATCGGGCCAAAATGGGTTAATCATGCGAGTTTGGTTAACAGAACAAAACATTTATTTGTAAATTGAAGAAAAAAAAATCGATTTCTGGAACAGGCAAATCGATTTTCCACTCGAATTACTTCGTGTGCATGTACAAGTGAAATTCATATGATTAAACAAGATATTTCAGAATATTCAAAAATCAATATTATGAAGTTATGCAAAGAATTCCAATATTTTCACATTGAATGAGTAAATTTAAAGCTACTACTCTTAACAAATTTAAATTTGAATGCTCTGCGTCGTTTTCCATTTATTGATGTTTCATCATAAGTTTTATCAGTCCTTTCATTTAAAAAGCTTAAATTTGTATATAGCCATACGAAACACATTCAATAAGCGTTCACGTAATGTATTATAAGTTCAGTCGCATTTGAAAAACCTCTCCTAAACCTTCCACCGAAAACGATATACATATTTTACCGAACTTTTATTGCCACTCTGCTGATGGATTGCACAAAAAAAAATTTATTATAATCCCAATAATTATAATGTTTTGTTTACATTTATTAAAGAAAATAAAAAAATCTACTGTACTTGGTTTGACAACTCCTACTAATGCTACCTATGAAAAGCTTGATATTTTGTCAACTTTTGTTGACCACATTATTGATCGATTTTCACAAACGTCTATAGTTGGTGACAAAGCTAGAGAAGTATTTATCCTTTCTCGATTTTAACCAATTCACACATAAGAACTATTCACAAACGCATTCGCAGAAATAGCTTTAGAAAACAAAAAAATATTTCAAGGGAAATATCCCAGATAAGTGTCAAAACTTAGCCTATAACAAATATAAAAGAATCATCCAAAAACGAAAAAATATCATTCCAAGAGTTCAACCTGATCACGATCAAGTTGCTGTAATGGTTTTGTGGATGTCTCCTGTAACGCATTACACTTTTTTACGTACGTGAAAAGGATGTTAAAACTCAGGCAAAAGTGTACCATCAAGTTGTATTGGAAGGCGTGGCAAAGCAGCTAAGCATTAATTTCTTCGATGAAGAGCATTAAATCTGGCAAAAATCTGATGCCGCACACAAGACAAAAACTACCTAAAAGTGGTTTCAAGAAAATATTCGTGGTTTAATTTTCCAGATTGGTTGACCATTGCGAATAAAGTTCTGTACATCGATCATTTAATATATGTATTATTAAATAAACTTTATTAAAACTGTATTATAGCTTAATTTTTATAACGGCCTGAACTGGCAACAGAACTTATTGTAAGACTAGCGCAATTCAGTAAGCAGTTTCTAGCACTAAGTATTTGCGACATTTTTCGGTAAGGTCTCAATTCGAAAAAAGTTACTATTCACAATGATGTCTCTTGTTTTTAATCGCAAAATGTTGTCTCAGCAGGTCACAAAACTTATTTGTTTTTTTTTTTTAATTTTGAACATAGTGACACTTCATTGATAGAGATCATGTTAGTATGCAAAAAAAATCAATTGAGTACGCAATGAACTATAATTTTATTATAAAAAAAAAACAATTGTTCGTATTTTAATCGTTAACAATAAATTATCATTAGAGTCACAGACATTAGTTAATCAGCGTCTAACATCTGTAAAACATCTCTAATATAAAGTTACCTCATTTTAAAGAGGTATACGAATTCAAAATGGAACGCTTTTATCGAAAATATTAATATATTTTTAGTGAGCTTGCAGAAAACGTATCAAATTTATAGTACGAAGTGGCCTAGTCATAAATTTACCTCGTATGGATTAAATATTTTAAAATGAATAGCCGACATTAATCAGGGGAGTTGTGAAATCCAATTGCTTAATTGTCAGAATTGCAGAATCTGTTTGGATTTTCGTCTTTTCAAACATACGCAAAACCAATATTCAATTCAGTTGTTTACTAATGTAACAAATCTTGCAAATGAATACATTTGGAAGCAATCCTATTAAAGTTTGTAATGGGTTCCGCATTAAAGAAATATTTTAGGAGATAACATTTATCGCATGAATAAAGGCGCATTTTCGTGTTAAATTACGTTTATTAAGTTTTGTAGATCTAATATCTTTAAATATATAATTTAAAAGAGTTTTATTAAAAAATATTTATTTTTCGCATATTTATATGTTTGAAAGTTCAAATGCATACAGTGTTTTTTTTTGCGCACGTTCTTATACAGTATTTAGAAAAACAAATACATCTTTTGATTTAAAAAATAGAGCATTATGTATTTATTCATTTTTAACCTAGAAAATTCTCAAAAATTGTAGAAGGGTACAAAAATTTATTAAAAATTAACTTTTTTCTTTTTATCGAAAATTGAGGTCTATGATGGATATTTGTTTCTAAGCATTTAAAAAAGAGTAACAAACCAGTAAAAAGTAAAAGTTTATATTTCAATTTTAGTATCTCCTCCTTTATTATGAATGAAGAAACAACTTTACTAATAAGTACACCCGAAGGGTTCTAGATAGGATTACAATGAGGACTACATGTAGGCCATTGCATCAATTTAATGTGTTTTGAAAAAATTAAGTGACTGGAATTATCTAAGACATGTATTATCTTGCTGACAAATGAACTTTTTTACAAAAAATCATACTTTTCATAATAACTCAGTAACATGACTTCTAATAACTTTGTGTGGATTTCGGAGTTAATTTTCCTTGTAATAAAGGAAATTAGCGATGTTCCAAAATACAAAACGGCTGCCCAACCCAGTGAGTKGAAATTTGTTTTTCATCCGAAGAAATAACATTACACCATTCTTGGCATATGTATTAATAAGAGTACAAATAGTGTTTGCGTATAATCGAATATCTATCACTGTATTCTGTTCACCACTGATGAGACATACAACTTTTGAACTTTTGTTAATTGAAAACACTCTAGTTTGGGGCAAACTTTTAATCAATATACTTATTATATAATATTTATTCAAAATTATTTTTGTGTTCTTTTTTTTAGGTATACCAACTACCTTAAGGAATAATCTTAAAAACAACGCTTAAAATGGTGCACAGAAAATAAAATAACTAAATAGAATACCGATATTACGTAAATTGTGTTACCTGGAAGTATCTTCTGCAACTGAAAATTATACACATTTTGTTTCAAAAATTGTTGAAATATATTTTAGAAAGTCGTAAAAATTTATGTTTTATCTACAAAATTGCTAAAATAAATAAGTGTTTCGCTTTCATCCGTTACATTTTCCAAAATGGGAAATAACGCTACTACATCTAACAAAAAAGTTGATGCTGCAGAGACAGTTAAAGAGTTTCTTGAACAAGCAAAAGAGGAATTTGAAGATAAATGGCGCCGAAACCCAACAAATACTGCGTGCTTGGATGATTTTGAACGCATTAAGACGTTGGGCACTGGGTCTTTTGGACGTGTGATGATTGTTCAGCACAAACCGACGAAAGATTATTATGCTATGAAGATTCTTGACAAGCAAAAGGTTGTTAAACTTAAACAAGTAGAACATACTTTGAATGAAAAGCGCATACTTCAGGCTATTCAGTTTCCGTTCCTAGTTTCTCTTCGATATCATTTCAAGGATAATTCCAATTTGTACATGGTTTTGGAATATGTCCCTGGTGGAGAAATGTTTTCGCATTTACGTAAAGTAGGCCGTTTTTCAGAAGTCCATTCACGGTTTTACGCTGCCCAGATTGTGCTGGCTTTTGAATACCTTCACTATCTTGATTTAATTTATAGAGATCTGAAACCAGAAAATTTATTAATTGACTCACAAGGATATCTGAAAGTCACTGATTTTGGTTTCGCTAAGCGTGTAAAAGGGCGCACATGGACACTATGTGGTACTCCTGAATACCTTGCTCCGGAGATTATATTGTCTAAAGGCTATAACAAAGCAGTTGATTGGTGGGCTCTCGGAGTACTTGTATATGAAATGGCAGCGGGCTATCCGCCATTTTTTGCCGACCAACCCATTCAAATATATGAAAAAATCGTATCAGGAAAAGTACGTTTTCCCTCGCATTTTGGTTCTGACTTAAAAGACTTATTACGTAATTTATTACAAGTCGACCTGACAAAGCGTTACGGTAATTTGAAGGCAGGCGTGAATGATATTAAAAACCAAAAGTGGTTTGCCTCAACTGACTGGATTGCAATCTTTCAAAAAAAAATTGAAGCACCATTTATTCCTCGGTGTAAAGGACCTGGTGATACTAGTAATTTTGACGACTACGAGGAAGAGGCACTGCGGATTTCTAGCACAGAAAAATGTGCCAAGGAGTTTGCTGAATTCTAATTGCGTTAATTTTTTACATGCTATTGCGGAGTAGCAAAATCGCGAGCATTATTAACAATATAAACGTAAACAATGTACATTATAGTTATAGCCGATAGATTTTATCTTGGGTATCGGGAATTTGAATGGTCTCCTGAAATCTACCGACAAATAATTATTTTTAAATCAAGATTGTTGTAAGTGAGAATACTTTACAATGAAGCAGTGCTTCTCCAAATTTCAAGCGATTTATTATAAATTTTTGTCGTGTCGTGAAATCAAATCGTAATAACGGGAGCATCATAAATCTTTAATAAATATAAGTTGAAACCTAATATACGCTCATAAATATCTTTTTCGTTGCTGTAATCTGTTCTTAATTGCTACTACATAACAAGCCTAAGACATTTGGAGCCGGACTTGGACTCATCAACAATATGATATACGTATGTATGAAACATTTACATCTAATTATTTATATTAAGTAAAAAATTTGTTTTTTCATTTGGTACTCTGAAAAGTAGGTTTAGTTCTTAATTGTATTCTTCTCACATAGAAAAATTTATATCTCGCTTCCAACTACTTGAAAAAATATCTTGTTCCTTAGATTTTGTAGGAAATTGAATGCTCTACAAAAAAGGTCTACGATTTTTTCGTATACCCAACCGTTTAAAAGATATTAACTGTTAAAGTTTGATTATTTTTGGGAAAATTTTTTATTCTTATGAATTTTATAACTCAATGAAATAGAATCATTATGAATGATGAAAGGTCCGAATAAAAGTACTCAATCCATATTAAGGAAATAAATAGCTTTTTTTTTACCGTGAAACTCTAATCCTTCTCTCAGCCAAATTTTTATTATTAACGTTTCGTTTGTAATGCATTTGTTACGTAATAATGAGAAAACATATTTGTCATTAGTCCAATAGAAAATCTCAAAAAGGCGAAGTTTAAATACGATAGAAGAAGTTTTTTTGAAATTGTATAAATTTTTATTTAACCACTTTTTTTTTTTACTTTTCCTAGAATAGCAATCAATCATCCTATGTATGCCTGTGTTTGATTTGTAAGGTCAAACATTGAACTCAAAAAGAATCTTAAGTCTCTCCCGCTGGTGGGGGAAAAATAAAGAATTTATTCATTTTGATTTTTTTCTTTTGGTAAAAAAGGGAAAACTGAGCTGAATTCGCCATTTGCTTTATCTCGAACTGCTGTGATTTGTTTCGCCCAGGTTAGCTGCTTGTCGAAGACAATACCGAGGTATTTCGCGGAAGGCCTCCATTTGATGAGGAAGCTATTTACCAAGATTTTTGGTGGAATTCGTTTTCTCCGTGAAAATAAAATTGCCTCTGATTTGATTGTGTTGATATCGAATCTCCGCAACCAGTACCAGTCGAGGCGAGGACGGTGGGGATGAATCTATTGAGAGGGATGTGCTGAAGTTAATTGTACGGGTGGCGTACAAGAAGGCGACATCATCCGCATATTAACCTGTGATACTTTTCTCCTCTGTTGGGATGTCATAACAATAAATGTTGAACAGCACTGGGGAGAGTTTGGAACCCTGATGGAGTTTCAGAGAGCTCACTATTCACCCGACCAGTGATTTTCCGGTCAGACAAGAAGGATTTGACTAAGCCAATGAGACACGGGGGGAAGTTTAGCTTTATAAGCTTATAAAAAGCCCATCATGCCAGACCCGATCGAATGCTTATTTGCAGTCAAGCAGGAGCATAGGGATGTGTTTTCCTTTGTTAGCGACGAATTCGGAGACCCGCAGAAGTTGGTGTGCGGTACCGTGTTGCTTTCGAAACCCATGTTGGAGGTCGGGAAGAATTTTCTTCTCCGTAACAAATTTCTCTAGTCGGGAGAGAATTATGCTTTCTGCTTCTTTGCTGAGGGTGCAGAGTAGGCTGATAGGGCGATGGTTTGCGGGATCGCTTAGGGGTTTACCTGGTTTAGGAAGAAAGACGACTATGGCGGCTTTCCAGGCCGGGGGAAAATATTGGAAACGCATCATTACATTAATGGTGTTGTTTAGGGCAACAAGGTGTTTGTGCGGTAGGATTTTTAAGACGCCGTTACTGATGCTGTCGTGGCCTGGAGCTTTCCGAGAGAGCTCTTGGTGGGTTGAAACTCGACCGTCTGGAAGGTTGTACCTCAGAAAGTTTCTGACACTTCGTGGACATTTGAAGGCTTGGAAAGGGGGAGCATTGATTTTTAAGGGATTGAGCGAAGACGTTGGCTTTGTCCTTGTCCTGTGGGTAAGAGATAACGTCTTTAATTAGGGTGGGGAGGTTGAGTTTACGGTTTCGTAAGGATCTGATAACCTTCCAGCAATTTTTAGGATGCTGTTCGACTTCGGCGATGAAGGAATTGAAGTCTTCAGAACTTCTGTGGAGGAGGAGAACCTTTAATTCCCTTTAATGGAATTGTGGAATTTAAAGTTTAGCGTATCCTTAGAAGTCTGTGTTTTTGCCAGAATATGCAGATTTTGTTTTTCCTGGCGATGAGTGCACGGATACGAGTGGGAAGGTTATTTGGGTTAGTGGTAGCTTCTATTGAGGAGGTGGCTGAAATTATTGACCAACAACAAGAATTTCAGGTGAAGGAAATCGGTTTTGATTTTTAACCGAGAAGAAAGTAAAGGGCGATTCGCGAGCTCCAGGTAGACCGGGGTGTGGTCTCTACTAAGCTCCTGAAAGGTCCAGGGGTCTCTGTTGAGGGTCACGTTTTTTGTGAGAAATAAGTCCAAGGTGCTTGCTTGTAACCTGGGACTTGCAGGTTTTATTTTGATATTTTCATTGCTTATATACTATTTTAGAAATCTTATCTTACTTAACTAAATTTATGTGTGTGTATGTTTAATATATTCAAAAATAGATATTTATTTTTAAGTTAGCATGTTCAACGATATTTTAACAGCCTGTCAATTATAGAAGCTTCGTAAATATACTGTGGATAAATTCAAATAGTATATGAATTTCAAATAATTAAAATAAGAAATATGTTTTTATAGAAATGTACTTTACTGCCTGGTATACAAACATTGAAATAAAACGTGGATGTAATTGATATAACTCTAACAGAAGCAAACTCAGTAATTGGGGTAAATTGAAGTTTTTATTTAATATAAGATTTTGTTTATTATTTGAAATGAATAAATAATTTGCTGGGACCGATGTCTCTAAATGGCCTAAAATATGGATCCATATCTCCAAGCAGATTACACCCAGCCTAATTCAACGAACATATAACATACAGTTGTGTGAAAAATAATAAGGACAGGGATGCAAAAACCCAAAACTTCAAAATATTCCTAGTATGCCATGAAAAATGCCGCCAGTTAACGGTATATTTTTTTCACTCATTATTTACATAAACAAATTCCGTTAGACAAACCCAAAATATTTGCACACATTTTGTATCTAGTCATTCTGTGTTTAACATATTCAGTATTCGCTTGTGCGATTTAATAAGGACATCGTGTCGTTTTAAGACAATATCGAATTTTCTTTTATTAAAACGTGTTTATTTACAGAGATAAGGTAAGAATAATATTTTCAGTTTTACTATCAATCATTTAGAACCAGATTTTTTTCTTTATTGAATAGATATGGGTAAGGATAAGCACTGCGATCCGAAATCACGACAACATGTTAAAAACTTGATGAAACAGGGGAATTCGTACAGAAAAGTTGCGAATTTACTTAATATTTCAAAAACAATGGTTGAAAAAGCAGTTAGGTGGATTCCCAAGATTGAAACACGCGGCAGGAAGCCTAAAATAACTCTGTCCACCAAAAAAAGGATAATTCACTGTATTAAAAAGAATACATTTATCTCATCCAAACAAATTAAATGTGATTTGAATATTGATGTTGACCCGTCAACTATCCGCAAAGTGCTCATTAAGGAAAATCTCAAGTCCC